CGTGGGCGTGCGGCGTCTGCACGCTGATTAACCCGCCGGGCCGCGCCAGCTGCTCGGCGTGCTCGACGCGGCGGCCGGAGGACGCGGCGGCCGGAGGCGGAGGCGGCGGAGGCGTGCCTGTGCGGTCCGCGTGCTTGGTAGACGTCGACCTCGAGGTGGACCTCGCGCCGTCGGCCGAGGCGGAGGGGGTGGCGGAGCGGGAGGCGGAGGCGGAGGCGGAGGCGAGGCGGCGGCAGCAGGCGGAGGCGGAGGCGTGCGCGGCGGCGGAGGCGGCGGCGGAGGCGGCGGCGGCGAGGGAGAAGGCGGAGGCGGAGGCGGAGGCGGAGGCGCGGCGCAGGGTCGCCTCCGACGCCCTCGGCGCGCTCCTAGGGTCACGCGGCGGGGAGGAGGCCGCCCTGCAGTGTGCAGTCCGGCGGCCCGACGGTACGCGGGGCACCGCGCGGCTGCGGCCGGAGGAGCCGCTGCTGGCGCTCTGGTGGCTGGCGGAGGCGGAGGCGCCGGCGGGAGAGGCGCTGCCGCCGGGCTTCCGCCTCGCGACGGGTTTCCCGCGCCGCCTGCTGGAGCGGCCAGCGGACGGCGGCGTCTCCCTCTCCTCGCTGGGACTCGACCCGGGGCAGCACCTGTTCTTTGTGGAGGCGTGAAGTGGGAGAGAGAGGGTAGAGCGGAACCGGATGGGCTTAGCCAGGAATACGTGGCTGGGTTCACAGCGATTGTAGGTAAATGAAAGAAAGAAAAGAAAGAAAACTCAGACAAACCAAGGGAGGGATGGGAGGACGGCGCGCCGGCCACCACACAGGGATTTTTAAGGAGAGGGGTGTGATGCGCTAGCCGTCGCCTCTGGGGGGAGGCGAGGGCCCTAGGGGGTACCCATGCGGGGGGGGATGGGGTCCCCCAGCCCGCCGCAGGCGCCGATTTATTTGACATGTTTTCTTTTTCGCGCGATTTTTTACTTGTTTTCATGGGAATTCGGCGTACTTGCGGCCATGCTATCACGCCTTGCGACATCCTTTCGGCGCTGCTGACCGTGCCATGCTGCTCAACTGACCGCCTGCATAGCTCGCGGCCTTAGTCTTCGGCATTCAGTGACGACCTGATCGTACGGCCAGTAGGAAGGTGTCCTTCCAGCGCGTGCACGCTTCTGACGCAATGCGCGTCACAAACTGCCTCGGATTGGCTGCTGGCACTCTCGAGGCTATGCCTACACAGCCTCGCGCGCATGGGCAGTCAAGAGGGACCATGCACCTTCTCAGGACAGCGCCGGTGCCTCTCTCTTGGACCGGCAAACGTGGTGGTCTCGTGTCACCAATGCAGACGTCGGCCTGTCTGCTGTCTGGAGTGATCTGTCGGCGGTCAGTACGACCGATCAGGTCGGAGTTTTCTGATGGTTGGAGGGTCTATCTGTATGTACTCCTCGAGATCTCTCCAAATCTGCCCTCTACTCAACCGTACTCATTCGGGAAGTCGGTGCTAACGGAGACTAACGGAGCCGGAGCCCCGTTTCCGCACTGCTGCGCGGCGCACGGTGCCTCCGGGGGCCCCATCCTCCCCCCAGAGGCCGTCGCCCACCCTTGTAAGAAGAGGGGTGTGATGCGCTAGCCGTCGCCCACACAGGTATTTTAATTGTAGGTAAATGTCAGGAACTTTCCTTTTTTTTCGACTCGCGCCCCCCCTCCGCCTCAGTAGCCCTGGCCGGTGCGCCTGCAGAGTTGAAGTTCCCGAGTAAAATTTCGAACACATTCTCTCACGGTGACCAAAAAATGTCCAGCTCAGAGGCACCTCCGGAGGCAGGCCGCCGCACGCCGGCGACACAGCTCCAGCCTGGGGGGTCGACGGGCCCCCGGGGGCGACGGGGGTGCTCTCCGGCCGCGGCGGCCGAAAACGGGGACCTCTAGTACGGTCTAGTAATGAAGTGATGCACTTGATGCAAGGGTGCCATTGTGCTCTACTACAAAAGTTGTGTAAGATGCCCAAGTCTCAGACACTGAATCCTTAGCGGAGCTGAGTTCTGACGGTGTGAACACGAGCAACCGGAGTGACGACCGGGACCGGGCCGCACGCCGGGAGTGCCCCGACTAGCAGTGGCGGGCGCGGATGAGCGAATGAGAGGTCGCTGTCTGTGGGAGATGTGTTATTAGAGACTAGGGCTGTCTATCTCTCACCGAAAGGGACCTCTCATTCGCTCGTCCGCACCCGTCACTGCTCACGGAGTGCTCCGCGTGCCGCACCGGCCGCCGCCGGCCGCCGGCCGCTCACGGTAACGGAACAGTGTTACTACTCCGCAACGTTGAGATGGATCAAACTGAATAGTGCTCCTGAAAGCCCTCTCTCTGCTCTGCCACACAGTAGCAGCTCACGACTAGCAGCTGTTGTGGCTGTATTTGTAGCCATTTTTAGGCTTCAACTGGTCCCAAAATAGTAGCAACGCCTCATGAAAATCAGTCAAAAAAGCCCCCAAAAATCGGCGCCTGCGGCGGGCCTCCTGGGGCTGCGCCCCAGACCCCCTTGACTGGGGGGACCCCCCCCAAGAGCACCCCCGTCGCCCCCGGGGGCCCGTCGACCCCCCGGGAGCTCCAGCTGTCGAACTGACCCGCAGCCCTCTCAGAGCGGGAACTGTGACGAAAGTTGACTGAGGTGGTTGTCAGGAAACATCATACGGATCACATGGTGACTCTCTCATGACGGGAGACCGCCCGACCACTCCTGGGTGGCACTGCCACCGGTGTCGCTCGACGTCCTGTCGACAGCGTGCCGACAGAGAGACACAGACCATGTGGGACGCGTCGAGTATCGACCTCTACTGCTTACCCAGCCTTCGAGTGTATCCTGGCTGTGGTCCCACACCCACTGGTGTCCATCTCAGAGACCGCAGGAGGTCATGAGGATCGATGGGAGTGCCAATCCCACAATGCCTAAAAACCCAGCGCAGTATCACATTTTAGCCCCCCGCTACCCAGTCGCAGTCGTGCGACGTAGCGGGGGGCCACAACTACGTTTACGAAAACATAAGTAGTCCCGCGAGGTGTGAATTTGGCCGCCCCAGTAGCCCCCTTTCCAATGGCTTGATTTGCGGCGCGTCCCCAGAGCGTCCAAACTTGGATGGGCGCGAACCGTATCTCGCAACGAATCTCGCCGGCCTCACCGGCCCTCTTTGCTTTGACCGACGCCCGTCCGCTCGACTGGCCGATAAAGAGCGACCCGTACGACGCGCACTTGTCGTCCTCCCTCCTCGCCAAATGACGGCCGCCCCCCGACACCGACAGTCGCGCTCCGCACGCCTTCAAGGTCAGCTGCGGCCGAGCGACGATCGGCCCGTCTCCGATCGCTGCCGCGGTCACTCTCCGGCCCATGACCCGCCTGCCGATCACCTGTCTGCCTCGCCGCGCGCGGGCCGCTCGCCTGCTCGCCGCCGCCGCCGCGCGTCCCCGCGTCGCCACGCTTCCCTGCACCTGACGGCGCTCGAGCTGCACAGACGGCGCGCTCTGGCAGACATCCATCCAGGGCCGGTGGGCTAAGAGGTAAGAGCACACCCAGCGGGCCAGATGATTGGCATCGGGTTGCGGGCAAGAGACAGGCAAGAGAGCCCTAGCCCTGGGTGGGGGGTGCGCGTTCGCAGGGAAAAAGGGCCGTAAAGTAAACACGGGTCTCCGAGGGTTAGTTCCGAGAGAGATTTTTAGCAATACCAAACAACTCTAACACTCGTTTGTTAGTTCCGTGTACCTACCGCTACCGGGTTTCCCCTTAACTGCAGAACGCCCCCCCCCTCTCTCTCTCGGACTCGGTCGGAGCTAACCGAATACGAGAATACTCTCCGAGAGTTGGACCGCGTACCAGGTTTCCCCTTAACCCTTTTACGTACACATTTCGAGCGAGTGAAAACCAACTCCTGAGCACGGCGCCGCAGGCGCCTGTTGATAGGTCCAGGTGATAGCCCTGGATGGGCAATGCATTCGCCTACCTGGGCCTCAGATCGCCCGACCGCGTCCCGGTGCTCTGTGGTCGGATTTGTGACGCCGCCGCACCGCGCCGCGGCCGGGGGCCCGCCGGAGGACGAGGATGGCCGTGACGGACCGGGACGAGCTCTGGGAGGTTCAGTGTCAGTGAGTATATTGTAGAGGCCACCCATGTGCACAATCTCTTGACTGAGAGCTAAGCCAGGGGAGGCGATGCCGGGGCCGTACAGCAGCTTGATGGTGCTTCGCCGGCGTAGAAGCGGCCGCGGCGGGCTCCGGGTGCCTGAAAAAGACGGAGTTACGTGGGCTGTGGGAGAGTTACTGTCGACTCAAACGACACTGTGCCGTAATCCTCTCATATATGGCTAAATATTTACCGAGCCGTTTTAAAGTTCCACCGCTACGACTGGAGATATATCGAGATTTATTTGGTCCTCAGGACCCTTATGAAGCAAAAGGGTTAACTGCAGGACGCCCCCTCTACTCGGAGCTAGTGATACGGCAATACGTACCGCCCCCACGCAATACCTGTACAGGTAGTGCCGCGTAGTGCTGCGTAGTGCTGCGTAGTGCCGCGTACTGCTGCGCGCGCGCTGGCAAATTCTTCCTTCGCGCTCTTCGAACAACGGCCTCTCCATCATGGAGCAGCTCGGCGACGACAACCCGCCGCTCTCGCCGGCAACCGAGGCGTGGCTGGGTGCGCGTAGACTGCCCTGTGTCCGCTCTCGCCCCGCCTCGGCGCCGACAATCCCCCCTCCTTTCCCGTGTTCAGCGGGCGCGCCGGCGGCGGCCGAGGACCGCCCACGAGACTTTTGGGTGTCGCCCGCGAGGTCCACGCGATCGGCCAAAAAGAAGAGGGAGCACTCTTCCCTGGCCGGCCGACCTTCGTCGCCGCCGACCGAGCCGCCGCCCCTCCCACCGCCGCCGCCCCTCCCACCGCCGCCGCGCCTCCCACCGCCGCCGCTTCCACCTCCGCCAGCCGAGCCGTCCGAGCATTCCGAGCCGAGGCCGGCGCGGACGGGGCCCGCCGCGCGTGCGGTGGGCGCTGAGATGGAGGCCGAGGCCGAGGCGGAGTCGAGCGAGCGCGCGCCCCCGACCACGACGGGCGGCGAGGCCCGGCTGACGGTGCGAGCACCCCAGAGCGCCGGCACACTCACTCCCGCTCCGGCTTCTCGTCTGCTCCTCCGACCCTCTCCCACCCCCGCCCCTCGCGCGGACGGTCATACGCAACTGCACAGAGACGTGGCGGAGCGCCCCCGACGCCGCAGGTGCCGCGGCCCGTCCTCCACACCGGGCGCCGCTCGAGGCCGAGCGCAAAGTCGAGCGAGCAGCTACAGCTCGAGGCGGCGGCGGCTGGGGGAGGGGCCTTCAAGGCGCGCCCAGTCAACCGGCGGGTGCTCGAGTCAGTGGGGGCGCGCGGCGCCTCACACCCATCCCGCTCCCCCACCCCACCAATCGCCCTCCACCCCCGCCCCCCAAGCCCGCCGCCCCGACCCGCCCTCCCGCCCGTCCTGCGCCCCACAGCCTTCGAAACCTCTTGCTCCCCCCCCCCTCCCCCTCTCCTCGACGCCACACCCCGCAAGCCCTCTCACCGTCGTGCTCGCCCCCCGGCGCTGCAAGGACCTCGGCGTCCCTCGCGTCGCCCGCCCAAAGCCGACCGTCGCTAAGGAGTTTCGCCTCTCGGCGCCCACGCCACGGCTGCACGCCGCCACCGCCGCTGCCGCTGCCGCTGCCACCCCGTCCGCCACGCGTCGCCCCGCAACGGCTCCGACGCCGACGCCGAGCACGGCCCCAACGGCGCGCCCCGCGACGCAGCCGCCAAAGGCGCTTCGGCGCGACGAGGCGGCTGGCGGCGCGGGGCCCGCAGCGCCGCCGGCCGAGCAGAGGCCTTCGACGGCTTGCGCCCGCCTCTCCGCGCCGCCAGCGGTGGCGACGCGCTCGACGACGGTGCAGCGGGCTAGGGAGGCGGAGCGGGCGGCGCGGGGCGCCGCCGGAGGCAGGACCTACGCCGGCGCTGTGGACGTGGGTGGCGAGCTTCCCGCGACGTCGGAGGAGCTCGAGCTGCGCGCTGCTCTGCGCGAGATGAAGGAGATCAAGGCGAGGGGGTAGCCGGAAGACCACCGAGTCCTCT